ACCATTTCTGGCCGGCAACTTTCAGCGTCATTAAGCCGCTGCGCCACCGCATCCCCCAAGATTAAAGTATTTCACTTTAAATATAGAATATAGGACATGTGTTTCTATTAATAAAGTTCTTATTCATTTCTGGCCCGTCTATACCACTTTCTCATTTTGTACTTCTGAATAACCATTTTGCTTGCCTTTAAGTTACCTCCACTAAACTTTTATAATCAATCTAGCGCTATTTAAACAGCAAAGAACTCCTCCTTGTGGAAAGTGTTTGCGTCAAATAGTTTTTTAAGTGGGTTACTGTTACAGTTGTAATTTTGTATCTAAAAGTGGCCATTTCTGTTCTTTATTTGCAGAAGTGCCCCAGCTTCTCCTAATCATTCTGGAGTATTGTCTGCTCATTCGAGTGGTGTGCAAACCCCAGAAAGTCTGTCCAGGGAAGGGTCTCCTGTCCCAATGGAACCTGAGCCAAGCAGTATCCAGCCAAAATTAGCAGTAATACAAGAAGCACGATTTGCACAGAGTGCCCCAGGTAATATTTTCATGCAATGCTTTTGTATTAAAATTATACAAAATTAATAAAGCATATTCATATGCTTTAAAATGCAAGGATTGCAGAAATTGTACATGAAAATAAAATATATTACTCTAGTGATGGTGATGTCATGAAGTAATTAAAATGTTGGACTAAGACAGGAGAGAGCCAGGTTCAAGTCCACCTTTAGTCATGAAAACTGACTGGCTGACTTTGTCCCAGTCACACACTTGGCTGTCTCGCAGAACTGTAGGGATAAAGTCAAGGATTATGCCCATGCAAACCACTTTCAGCTGTTGGAGATAAAGACTGGATAAACATATAATAAATAAGACATAATAAAAACTTTTCCTCACATTAAGTTATGGATGATAAATTGATACTGAAATACACTGTGATGAATTCTTATGTTCCCCAACTCTGAATAGCATGGTTCTGTAGCTTATCTTTTTTTCACATTGCTGGAATATAGCAAAAATTCTGGACCATGTGGGTCATACTACTGCTGTGTGAGCAGTATGAATGCCCAAACAACTTAGTTACAACATACCAGCTTTAAAATATTTGTTTACGGAACCAGTAATGTCTTTTGTACTAATGGACTTCACAGATGTTATGTTGTTCACGTAAACAAGCGTACATGATATATTTGCTTGTGAATTGCCTCCAAAGGGAGGCATGCATAGCCTTGATGCCCCTTTTTAATATGTTTCTCAAAGAAGAGCACGCAGGAAGTATATATGTGGGGAAAACGTGCATTTTAATTAAGACTAGTTTGTAAAGCAGAAATAAGCTATTTCCCCTCCTGCTTCTTACTGTGGGTTTTTCTAGTTTGGGCAATATGGTCTTTTTTCACCCTAGAATCCCATGATTCTAGGCTTTAATACCAGTCTTTAATACAGAATAATGGCTTGAGGAGGTGTAGCAAGTCAAATTGTTTGCATTATATTCAGAAAGTTCCAGTCACATTTATAGCTGGAAACGTAGAAGCTTAAAGTTTGTTCAGTAATCAGACTGAAATTTTATATTCAAGATATTTATATTCAAGGAGTGTTTTTAAAGACCATTGGTTGGATTTACATACATTTTTAGCTGGGTAATTTAAAGACCCAGTGTGAAGTTTGAAGCCAGAAACTTAGAGATTTGAGGGTCAAGATCAGGCCTCAAGTAACCCCAAACAACCCCAGTGTACTAGATTACCAGCCTTATCCTGGGCAGCTCATGTCATGCAAACCTCAAAGGATTAACACAGGGTTAATTTTTCTGATACCCTGCAGAGGGATAGGAGTCTATAAAGTGGCTCTTCACTCTAGGTGCTCTGTCTCCTTGGTTACTGTTACTGCTACTTGGTTACTGTTACTGCCATTTCTCATCCTGCCCACCCCTGCCCCAAATGGGTGAATGTAGAGGTGAAATTGTAATGTCCATGGTGACTCTTACCCCAATCCCTGTCCAAGGTTGCTCTTACTCTAATCAGACTACCATAAATCTTTTTATTTTAGAAAATGACTACCCCACATTGAACGCTCCCCCAGTGTTATCAGGGCAGTTTTACATTCTACTGACCATCTGCTGCTGTAACACCAGGTAAATAATTTACTTGGAAGCAGTGGCAGACAGGATCAGTTGCATTGTGCAAATGAAGCTGTTGGCTTTTACTATGAGGAACTGCATTTGATACCATAACACTGCCAGTTGACTTTTCTTTAGGTAATTCCTCCTGTGCCATCCACATGGCTTTTTTTATTTGCCTGTTAACATTACTAAGGCTGGGAAATAGAAGGGTGTTGCTGCTTCTAGCATCTAACCTACCTTGCTGTTCTGAATTCTAGCCTGTGCAATATTTGGTTCAGCAGGAAAGCTGCTGTGAGCCAGTAGCTTCCTTTCAGACTTGGAACAGGTAAGCTTGGGACCAAGAAAGAATTAACCAGACATTTTCCACACCACAGTTGTTCACTGTCACTGTTATCAGCACTTCTAGAAGAAGTTTTGATGGCTTCAACATTCAGCAGATGTTGGATCAAAGTCTTTCCCACTGAGATTACTGGTGGCAGCAGCAATCAGTTCTGATGCAGAAAAGGACTGTTAGATTCTAATTTACTTATCATGGCTGTTCCAAGTTGGAAGAGCATATCCGTCAGGAATTACCTATCAGTCTGAGGCCCATAATTTATATGGTACTCATTCTGCCCCAAAATAAAGTTTTAAAAAAATGTACTTTGTTGCACTTAGTATATAATGCATTGTTTCATTTTGAAAGTATTGGGAGTTAAGCAGTATAGAATAAAGTCTGCAAAAAGGGACAGCAAATTATATAGAAATTTCAAAAAACCTAGAAAGCTGGTGTTTACATAGGTGATCACTACTGTTTTAACATGTTCACACTGGTGGTGGATCCCTATTTTAGATAAAGATCTTTTCCCAGACATACCTAGAAATGCTAAAGAATGAATCATGTATATTCTGCCTCCAGTGGATGTACTCTACCACTGAGCTATAGCGGTACAACGTTTACATTTTATGTATAAGGTTTTTTTAAATCAGGTTATAATATGCTAACTGTTGATGTCAAGAACTGTGATTCTTTGACACAGAGTTCTGTGACACAGCAGTGAATTTTACCCTGATATGCCTGCTGAAGAGAGTCAGAGTAATTCCTAACCCCACTGGATTAATCTCTGGGTAGCTAGAACATTACTGATGGGAGGAAGCATGGCTCTTTTCTAATTTAGGGAAGCAAGTTGCTTATAATTATACGAAAAAGGATGTAACAAATCTCTTTCTACTTTTCTTGACAGGATCTCCTCTATCTAGCCAGCCTGTTTTAATTACTGTACAGAGGCAGCTGCCACAAACTATGAAACCTGTCACATACACTGTTGCAACTCCTGTGACAACATCAACATCCCAGCAGCCTGTAGTACAGACGGTTCATGTTGTTCATCAAATCCCAGCTGTATCTGTCACAAATGTGACTGGATTAGCACCAGCAAATACTTACACTGTAGCTGGGCAAGCAGTGGTTACACAAGCTGCAGTGGTGGCCCAGCCTAAAGGAGAACCTCAAGAGAATGGAGATCACAATGAAATGAAAGGTAAAAAAATTATTTCAGTTGTAGGTGATATATTACAGCCCAGATATTATGATTTGTTGAAATTTTATGCTGATTTCTTTTATGATGTGCTGACCTTGATGCTTTATTTCCTATTTTTGTACTGTATTTCAAACATTTATCTATTTTTTTCCCTTAGTTAAAGTGGAACCTGTACCTGCAGTTAGCCATACAACTCTAGGAGCTACCAGTCGGATCATTCAGACATCTCAGACTACACCGTTACAAACGGTTACTCTAGTACAACAAACACCTCTAGGTCAACACCAGCTACCAATAAAAACTGTAACGCAAAATGGAACACACATAGTACCCATCACCACAGCAATGCAGGGTCAGGCCAACACTGGTAAGCATTTTGAATCAAGTGTTAAGAGTCACAAGTTCTTTGTTGTAAAAATAATATCCAAAATAAATTCATTCCTATTTTTTCATATTATTGGAAGTAAACTACATGTACCTTTATTTGGACATAATTTATAGCCTAAACCTACATATGTCTTGTTATAATTATTTTAGTCTATCTTGTTTTTCTTCCATATTAAATTAGCAACTGGGATTGTATAACTAGTTCTGATTGGCAAAAAAGTATCTGGAAATGTACTTCTTGAGGAACAGTTGTCCATGTCATATGAAATTGCTTTTGAAATTGAAGTAATACATGTAATGAAAATGTGAAAAAATATGACTACTTATTGTATCTTTAGGAATATCTATAAGAGTCTTGAAGTCTGTTAATAGATGCATGAAATATTATGTTATCTAACATTACGAGAGCAAGTCTTAAACTTACATGGTGTCCTGCGTCCTACAATGCCATGAGGAGATGTTGGCAAACTTTTACTTCTTTTTTTTAGATTAATTTTGTGCATGTTCAAAGTTAACAAGGACTGGTATACAAAGCTGGATTCTTTCCAATAATTCAACATTTAATTTTAAAGATTCAGATGTCTTAAAATGGGAATAGAAGTTCCTCACTGCAGTGACATAAAAGAGGATGAGGGGGAATTGTGTATGTCCAACATAAATAGCAAATTATGGATGTTATTTTGCCAGGATTGTCTGGCAGTGACTCCTTTTTTGAGTTATTGTGAGCTCAGTGATGATGTTATCTAAGCACCTTGTCTTCTGTTACCCTATTTTTCAATTTCCTTCAAATTTTCCAAGCATCAGGATCTTTTCCAGTGAGTCTTGTTTTCTCATTATGTGTCCAAAAAATATTTAGGTTTTACTGTTAGTGCATTCAGTGAGCACTAACAGTGAGCTTTCTGTTTTCATTTCATCTGGAGTTTAATTATTTATTCTTCTTGCATCCAGTATATTCTCAGGTTTTTCCTCTAGCACTATAATTCAGAGGCATCAAATGTTCTTTGTTCAGCCTTTCTGATGGTCCAGCTTTCCAATTCTCATTCCATGTATTGTTAAAGTTTGGATTACAAAGTCTTACAAACTTATGAGATAAATGCAATTATTGAGCATTTTTTAGCATTGTCCTTTTTTGGTACTGGAATATAAATTTATCTCTTCCAGTCCTTTGGCCACTGCTATAGTTTCCAGACCTATTATAGATTGCAGGTAGCACTTTAAATGCATCATCTTGTAAGTTTTAAGTAGTTCTGCTAAACAAGTTGCAAGGGTCATGAAGAACTCCACTCATGCTAGCTCTTTATGACCCTTGCAACTTTGTTATTAGCAATATTTTTAGGGCCCTTTTAACCTCACTTTCCAGAATATCTGTGTCCAGTTCATTGTGCAAACCTTTGTCATATCAACGTTGAGATCTTTTGTGGTCAGTTTTTCTATGTACAGATGGTCCTTGGCTAATGACCACTCATTCAGCAACTGTTCAAAGTTGTGACGCCACTGAACATTCCGGCTATCACAGCGTCCCCGCAATTGTGATGTCACAGCGTCCCACAGTCATGTGACCGCCATTTGCAACCTTCTTTGCCAGATTTTGACAAGCAAAGTTGATGGGGAAGCCGGCAGGAGGTTGCAAATGGCGACCATGTGACATCTTCGCTTAACAACCATGGGGGCTTTGCTTAACAATAGCAACTGGAAGTGCCGGAATTTCTGTCACTAAGCAGCATAGTCACTTGACATTGTACTTTACGACCATGTTCCTTAGTGATGGCAATTCTGGTCCCAATTACTGTTGTCAACCGAGGACTACCTCTACTCACGCTAGCTCTTCTTTATATAAACATTCCCTTGGTTTCTGTAAATCACTTATGCTTCTCATGCAATTGTTAACCATTTCATTATATTACTTAGATATTTCTTCGTGCTCTACCCTGGAACTCTGTATCCCGTTCCCACAGGAATAGGAAATTTGTTTTTTGGGATTACAATCTTTTTTTCCCAGCATTAGTCACTATATTTGACTAGCTATCCAGTGTTTTCTAAATGAAATATATACTTACATAAATGCTGGACTCCACCTAGCATCGCAGAATACACAAAACTGTTGATGACCATAATATGGGCTTGCAAAAAGATGTTATTTGGATTTCCTTTGACTCTTCCCTCTGCACCATGTAGTCTAAGAATGATCAGATAAACTGTAGATACTTTTTTCTAAAATACAACTCATACAGAAAAAAATGCATGTATTTTTTATTTCAATGCATGTGAATTGAAGAACTGATTGAAATAATTTAACATCAGAGAAAAGATGGAAGTTGAGAGAAATCACAATAATGTGGTCTGGTAGTTAAAACTAAGCCATTTTGTGTAGATGTCAGTGTCTTTGGAATGGACAGCAGGAGAAAGGTGCTGGTTACTATCTATGAAGCCCTTCATGGCATAGAGCCTGGCTCTCTAATACCTGTTGCCCTTTGTTTCTGCCTGTCCAGTAAGATGCAACAGAGTGAGCATGTTCCAGGTCCGATCCGTAAAGCAATGTCATCTGATGGAACCTAGGAAATGGCCCTTTTCAGTCATAGTGTCTGCCTTCTGGAATAATATCTCCCAGAGGTTCAAACAGCTCTGCCTCTGGAATCCTTTAAATGAGCCCTGAAAACTGTCTTACCCTTTAAGCTTTGGGGTAGGTTGGGTTGTGTTCACCCAGATTGCATTGTTTGTTAGGAATGATATATGTTTGTTCCCCATTATGTTTATTTTGTGCTTGGGTTTTAGGGATATGGTTGTTTTATCTTGTTTGCCATCCAGTTATTGCTGAGTTAGGAGGCTTTATAAACCTAAATGATAGCTGTAAATTTTCTCAGGGATGTGCCTGCACAAATTGGATTACTTTCTAAAAGACTCTGAAAGATTATGAATATTGATTTTCCCTCCTTTGCAGATGAAAAATGAGGTTGCATGTCCATTGTCTGCCTATCTTGTCCTTTTCTGATATCCCAGAGTTTAGTTTCCAGTCTTCTAATTTAGAGAGCTCTGTAAATGTCATTCTTATATCCTCTTTTTAGCTATAGCAATTGCATTGTCTGATTCCATTGATTAGTTCTTGTGGATTTTCTTATCATTGGCATTTCTCCTTAGATAAGCAAAAGCCCTTAATTAAAATACTGTAACAACTGGTACAAAATCCCTCATTCAGAATTCTTGCTTAGATGAAGGCCATACTGTTGAAATTCACTTCTTCACTCTGTCACATCACAGTATATAATGTTCTGGTTTTAGCTATCTGTAACTGATGTTTTTTGGCAGGACTGGTGACTATATACAGTACTGTGCAAAAGTTTTAGGCAGGTGTGAAAAAATGCTGTAGAGTATGAATGCTTTCAAAAATATATATTGTAATTGTTTATGTTTATCAATTTACAAAATGTAAAGTGAGCAGACAGAAGAGAAATCA